CCTTTAAAAGAAAGTTCAATTATTCTCACACACACACATATAACATACATATATACTCTGCATTCAATTATTCATTAAAATGTCACCTTTTGATTTTAAATTTTACAAAGAAAAAAAAATCTAATTCGACAAACCTTTTGATTTCATCATTTTTAAAAGTGTGCTTTAAAAAACACAACACCATTTTAGTTTGTTTTATTCTATTTGGTGATAGAAGCCAAACTTCCACACAATCATTTTCTCATTTTTTTTTTTCTCCTCGGGTCAGACTGGTCCTAACATCTGGCAGGTGTATTCTGTTACTCAACATTACACTACAAAAGCAGCAGGATCACAGCCGTGTCTTTGTGGACCCTTCTCAAATGTGCTAAAAAAAAAAAAAAAAAAAAAAACGGGGAGTGTTTAGGCTCCGCATTTGATTAGTAAGCTGGAGTTCTCATGGGAAAATATGTTTCCCAAAGTGGGATCCAGGAAGTTGGCATCAAGAATCCCAATCTTCCGTATATTTATTGACATTGCCGTCTAGATTCCACACTTCAACACTGGGTAAGCTGTTAGTCAAGAGGTGTTTTCTTTCATTTTGTCTCCTCTCGTACACATTCAGGATATGAGGCATTAACAATACAATAATTCAAATCTTCTCTTTTCCTTCAAAACATCTACACCAAGCCCAGACCCTTATGGGAGGCTAATTAAGCCATTGGTCTGTGACTAGTGAGTCTTACCACATGGGTGTTTGTGTTGGCACCTGAACTGCTCTGAGGGGAAAACTGATCCCAGCGCAGCTTGCCCAAGACAAACACGTGCCTCACAAGTCTATTTTCCTTATTAGAATTAGGAATTAGGGGGACGTGTAGCGAGGGAGCAGCATGTTTAAGGAGCATGCCATCTCGGCGGCAAACTATCTCGTTTAAATCAACGGCATAAGTGAGACCTTTCTTCTGTAATGCTTCGTCCAAAAAGACGAGAGAAAATAAACACCGAAATGTGCAGCGACGGGGCTGAGGGAAAGATTATGCCTCGTCTCGTTTCGTGCCCTGACAATCTAATTGAAATGTGAAGGGACGACTTTTCCTCTAAGACACTGACTTTGTGCTTTCCTGTCGCAGCGACCTTCACAGGAATAAATATTTGACCAAGATGGACGAAAGCGCCTTCGCGGGCACCATCTGTGGCCCCATGCTCCTGTGAGTACCCGAACTTCGTCTCCCTATAAATAAACTGTATATCCTAGACATGATAATGAGTGAATGAAGTACAGATGTCAGTGAAAGTACACAGTAAATATTCATCCTCAACATCCTTGCCGTGTCTCTGACCTGCAGGCGTTCGAACAGATAAATCCCCTATTTTCCTACAGCTTTAAAAAAAAGTGTTACCAGGTCACGGGGTCAGCAGTGTCCACACCATCGCCAAACAAATCACACTGCACCACATCAGCCCCCCCGAACCTTCCTGTGGGTGCTGAGTCCACTAGAAGGCGCCAACCGCCCTAACTGGGATTCAGTCTAGCCCAGGAGGTGAACCCTGGGGTTCCACACCAATGACAGAGACGTGGCCTCTGGGCCAAAGCGCCACTTTATAAATAAATGTTTTTATATTTTTGTTTAACCTAAAAACCATCTTTTCAAAATGCCTAATAATATCAAGATCAAGCCACTAAAGGGTTCGATTGGACAAATGGTTCGTCCATGTCTGACTCTTCTTCCTCTGTTCCACTGAGGAAAATGTCCCAGTGAGGTCACATCCTCCAGGTCATGAGCTAAACATCCAGGAATTACAAAATCAGACCGACACTCCGAGGGTCCGCGCAGCTTTTGCTCAATGTTGTCCCCCGGGGTGGGGGCGGGAGAAGAGAGGAGGACAAATAAGTGAGAATTAAAAGAGAACAATTGAGCTCCGAGCGATTATGAAAGTGCTCTGTTTGTGTTTGCTTAATTTAATGAAATTATTCATCCACGTAGAGAGAGCAGCTCTCGGTCCCCAGAAGTGTCCAGTGTCTCCCTGGAGACTATGGGATCACACGGGATGTTGGTGAGACCAACGACCCGCTACATGTCTGTCTGTGTCCCGGTCGCGCTGAGCTAGCTCTGGCTCTGGTTTTGACGAGCAGGACGGAGCATTACCACATGTAATTGCTTAAAGATGAAGTGGTGAGGAGCTGGCTCTGAGGAACAGATGGAGAATGTTGTCTAATCTGTGAGCTGCGGTGATGGGGATATTATGTCTGAGAGCTATTCTGTGGTGGCTGCCTGCTGTTTCGTTCAGTCAGACGAGATGTTATTGCTCAAGTATCAGTGGCATGACTGCTGTATAACAGGAGAGGGGTGTATTCAAAAAAAAAATCAGTGCTGGATTTTTTCTTTTTTAAGAATACATATTGTCTGACTTTCTTTCGTGACATTCTGTCTTCAAGAGACGTGTCGCAGACAGCCATCAGGTCACTGCCGACTGCAGGTTTGGAGTCTCTCAGAGAACTGAAGGCACGCAACACCTGGGCTCTGAAGAAGCTGCCTCCCATCAGAACGTTCAAGCACCTGGCCATCGCCAATCTGACCTACCCCAGCCACTGCTGCGGCTTCCACATCTTTTCAAAATGCCTAATAATATCAAGATCAAGCCACTAAAGGGTTCGATTGGACAAATGGTTCGTCCATGTCTGACTCTTCTTCCTCTGTTCCACTGAGGAAAATGTCCCAGTGAGGTCACATCCTCCAGGTCATGAGCTAAACATCCAGGAATTACAAAATCAGACCGACACTCCGAGGGTCCACGCAGCTTTTGCTCAATGTTGTCCCCCGGGGTGGGGGGGGGAGAAGAGAGGAGGACAAATAAGTGAGAATTAAAAGAGAACAATTGAGCTCCGAGCGATTATGAAAGTGCTCTGTTTGTGTTTGCTTAATTTAATGAAATTATTCATCCACGTAGAGAGAGCAGCTCTCGGTCCCCAGAAGTGTCCAGTGTCTCCCTGGAGACTATGGGATCACACGGGATGTTGGTGAGACCAACGACCCGCTACATGTCTGTCTGTGTCCCGGTCGCGCTGAGCTAGCTCTGGCTCTGGTTTTGACGAGCAGGACGGAGCATTACCACATGTAATTGCTTAAAGATGAAGTGGTGAGGAGCTGGCTCTGAGGAACAGATGGAGAATGTTGTCTAATCTGTGAGCTGCGGTGATGGGGATATTATGTCTGAGAGCTATTCTGTGGTGGCTGCCTGCTGTTTCGTTCAGTCAGACGAGATGTTATTGCTCAAGTATCAGTGGCATGACTGCTGTATAACGGGAGAGGGGTGTATTCAAAAAAATCAGTGCTGGATTTTTTCTTTTTTAAGAATACATATTGTCTGACTTTCTTTCGTGACATTCTGTCTTCAAGAGACGTGTCGCAGACAGCCATCAGGTCACTGCCGACTGCAGGTTTGGAGTCTCTCAGAGAACTGAAGGCACGCAACACCTGGGCTCTGAAGAAGCTGCCTCCCATCAGAACGTTCAAGCACCTGGCCATCGCCAATCTGACCTACCCCAGCCACTGCTGCGGCTTCAAGAACCTCAAAAAGAAAAAAGGGTGGGCTCATTTCTAATGGGCAAAAGCTAAAAATAAATATACAGGATCTCTCATATATTTATGTGTGTATATTTTTCAGCTTTTTGGAATACATCATCTGTAACCTGACGGCTCTCCACGAGCAGCAGCAGCACAAACGTTCTGTGGGACCCCTGCTCGTGCCATCTCTCCAAGACGGCAACGCGGTCGAAGCGGTCCCTGACCTTGAGCCGAGCGATGAAGGTCAAAGGGAGTCGCAGCAGGATTGGAGGAGAGGCGACTTCCACGGCAGTCTCTATTACCACGCCTACTTTGGAGGCCAGCCAGACGAGGACGTGGGCTTCGGGGAAACTCTTAAGAACGCCCAGGAGGACACCAGCCAAGATTTCGACAGTCGTTACGATTATGTGGTGTGCGAAGAGGGAGTGGAGGTGGCGTGTTCCCCCGTTCCCGATGAGTTCAATCCTTGCGAGGACATCATGGGTTTTGGCTTCCTCCGAGTGTCCGTGTGGTTTGTGAGTCTGCTGGCCATTCTGGGAAACGTGCTGGTGCTCCTGGTGCTGCTCACCAGCCATTACAAGCTCTCAGTCTCCCGCTTCCTCATGTGTCACCTGGCCTTCGCCGACCTCTGCATGGGGATTTACCTGCTGCTCGTCGCTTCTGTTGACGTCCACACGCGAGCCGAGTACTTCAACCACGCCATAGACTGGCAGACTGGTCCCGGTTGCGGACTCGCAGGTTTCTTCACAGTGTTTGCCAGCGAACTGTCCGTCTACACCTTGACGGTCATCACTCTGGAGAGGTGGTACGCCATAACCTTCGCCATGAGGCTGGACCGCAAGCTGCGTCTCCACCATGCCGCCGCTGTGATGCTGGGCGGCTGGGCCTTCTGCCTGGTCATGGCCCTGCTGCCGCTCGTCGGGGTCAGCAGTTATCAGAGGGTGAGCATCTGTCTGCCGATGGACACGCAGACCACGGCGGCTCAGGTCTACATCCTGTCCGTGCTGCTCCTCAACATCCTGGCCTTCCTCGTCATCTGCGCCTGCTACATTAAGATCTACTGCGCCGTGCACAACCCTCACTACCGCTCTGGCTCCAAGGACACGAACATCGCCAAGCGCATGGCCGTCCTCATTTTCACCGACTTCCTGTGCATGGCACCCATATCCTTCTACGCCATGTCAGCGGTGTTGGACCGTCCTCTCATCACCGTGTCGAACTCAAAGATTTTACTAGTGCTCTTCTACCCTCTCAACTCCTGCGCCAACCCTTTCCTGTACGCCATCTTTACTAAAGCCTTCCGAGGCGACGTGTTCATCCTCCTCAGTAAGGTGGGCCTGTGTCAGCAGCGAGCGCAGCTGTTCAGGGGCCAGACGGTCTCGTCTAAAGGAAGCAGCGGGACGTCGCAGGTTCGGAAAATGAGGAAAGGAGGAGGCGCGGGGCAGGAGGAGATGTCCATTCACCTGAGGAAATGCTCTGGACAGCAGTGTCATCAGGCTGGGGGCCGACAGACGGGCGGAGAAGAGAGTCAGGGCCTGAACACGTGAACCAAATACCAAATCTGTTTGGGACTTTCAAAGATCTCAGTCAAACTGTCTGCTGAATTTCAGCTGTGATGATTTTATGGTTTCTCTTGTCGGAAAATGATGAGTCAATGAAATATAAGCTGCATAACAGAGATAGTATATTAGGTAATGACATAATCAAAGAAGAAAAAAAAGATACATAATTAAAGTGTGTGTCCATGTCGGCCCAAACACAGTGTTTATAAAGACGTGGATTTCTGAGGGTGTCGCTGCGCATCAGTTTCTGTTTGAATTAAAAAAAACCTGTATTTTGTTTTTTGCATATTAAAGTATTGTTGAAGAGTTTTTTCTAAAACTTTGTGAAAAGTACTTGTGTACTTCTGCTCAACAACTCTCAGATGTCTTCATCCCTGACACGAGGCATATTCGAAAATATTAGCGCTTCACTACAAATTACAGACAGGAATGATAATCAGCGTATGCCACCGGAGCAGCGCCGCTCTGGAATGTCGTGGTTGTTTTTTCTAGCCGAGTCGTGAGATTTCTTTTCCACTTTCTTACGGAAACAACTGACTTAAACAATCAGCGCAGCGAGCTCCCTTTTCGCAGCGAAGGCCCAGATCAAATGGAGCCGAGACCTGTGCGAGATACGAAGCTATTATCGGGTTAAGGACACCTCTGGACAACGGCGGCTTCACATCTGGTTGGCATTTCCACGTGCCTTCCAGGAAAAGGAGATCGTTTCAGAGCGTTTAACGTTTTGTTCAAAACAACACGTCCCCTCGTCGGCTCACTCCATCATGGAAAATAAAGCACGAGGCGGCCTAATCTATATAACTCCACTCTGCTCTCAGCGAATCAGTGAGGCCGAAGGGCTAAAAACCTCAGAACTGGAAGCTCTTTCTTTAAAATGAAATTGAATGAATTCAAAGCGGCATCTGCTCGCCGTGTTCCAGACTCGGCTCACGCTGAACATTTTCCTAGAGGACTAGCAGGGCATCATTTTTTTTCCCATAACTCTGTGTCCATCGCTTCCAGTCACTCATTACCAACAATCCATCGCGGACCCTTCAAATGCTGAGCCGACAGCGCCGGGGCATGATGTGCCTGGCTGCGTTCGTAAGTACTATTTCCTCCCAGTGCCAGTTAACGTTAACTCAAGAGTTTTTGCTCGTTTCATGAGCATGTGCACGTCAGGG